AGTTGTGGTTGTTAGATTGTTGATGTGTTATTTGAGCCTTGTCCGTTTTTGTGTCAACCTTCTGCGGACCGGTAGTAACCTTTCCGCGGACCTGCAATGGGCAGCGGCCCGGTGGTTGCCGACCACTGGAAAGCAACGGTGCGTAAAATAATACATTATCTAAAACTTTCAATTAATTCGTTTGTTTTAAATGATAGTATATATGTGATTGTACTCGTTTTGACAAAATTAGAAATAAAATCGAGTGGCTCCATGGTTAACTATCAAATGTGATGATGAAACTGCTGATGAAACTATTATATATATATACTTGAGCTATACGTAGAGATTACACGATATGAGGATTGTAGAGTTTACCCAATACGAGTATTGTATACTCTCCGCAAATAGGAGAAGATCCGGTATGACAATTATTCAACGTTTGAGATAATTAGGCGCAATTTTAAGGAAAAGCTGTAATCAACAAACAGATGTGTAAATCATCATGTGATTGGCGAATATCCCAAACTCCTATCCTACCTGATCAACCGTTATGCGATTCCAAACGTGTTTTTCCTGAGGAGTGCAATCAGAAAATTGGAATAATCTATAATGCTATATCTTCTGAACAGTCACATTTAATTAATAAAATGACATCCTCCTTCCAATGTTACTTGGAACTGCAGACTTACATATTACATCGTGAATCATGCTATATCTATCTCCAACCCCATTGCATCCATCGAAACAAAATCAAATAGTTACATCATTTGGCACAGCACTTCACATTTATCAAAAGTTTATATATATATATATATATATAATATATATCATTTCAGCTTATTTTCACATGTCGCAACAATGAAGATGAATGGTTGAAAAGTTATCAAATACAGATGAAGGCTATTGCAGATGATCACTATGTTGCCACGTGGCCGTTTCTCTCATGGACAGCTTACAAAAATTTCCGATTCTGCCACCATGCAGGTACTAGAGATTTTAGTAATTTGAGGCAGCAAGCAAGGTTTTGTTCTAACATTACATTAATCATATCTATGACAAACTGCGGTTCTGATTTATACGGGTTGTGTGCGTGGCATGAAGTGGAGTTACGAACTAACGATTCCTATACAAATGTAGGGATATAGATTCATCATGATGGTCCGATTCTCAGTTTCATTATGCTACATTGCAAATCTTTGGATCTTTTTAAAGGCGTGTATAGTAGAGATGCGCCGATACCGATACCAAAGGAAAACACCAATATTTTAAAAGGCCGATATTCCGATACTATGTAATTACTCTCATAAGTGTGCAAGGCAGAAGAGTTAAAACAATTGTCCGTAAGCATTATTTGCAGTGCACACTATTTCAGATTGAAAAAGAGATATCACAAACAATAAGAAATTGATGTTTGAGATCCAGATGCGTTGATTGTGCAGATTCATTGTGCGCCGACGCTAGTAATTCCGAAGTTCGATTAGAAAACTCATGGGGTTTGGTTACTGTGGGTGGTAAAATTCTACTGCTATGGGTGGTTTTCTTACCATGTCAAACTGACACATTGAGTTGTGTGCGCAGGATTTTGTGCCAATATAACTAATATTCGATTGATATATTTCTTAACAATTACCATGTAATATTAAAAATGTCAATATAAAATTTGGCAGCAAAAATACCCAAATTAGTTTAACCAGTTTGGCTGATAAATAGATAAAAACAGGTTAGAATCATATTCCACTCGCGGGGGTAGGGATGTGCATGGCTCGTAGTTTACGATCTCTCCAAGCCAAATTTATTTTCTAATTAATTTTTTTAAACAGTATGGATTTCATTAAAAAGCTAAATATATCCAAAATATCGTTTTATATTCAGCCGATACCGATACTAAAAATTGGCCGATACATCTCTATAATGCAGCGTTTCCCAAACTTTTTCGGCCACGGAACACTTACACTTTTATCTCGCCTCGCGGAACATCAAAAAATGAAAGGGTAAATTTGATAAAGAAAAAAGGTGTAATGTAGCGGTTCCCAATGGGTCCTCGTGGCGAGTTGCCAATTGTGCCGCTAAAACTAACAGAATTGTGTTAAACATACCTAAAAATGATTGAATATTTTACATATTGCATTTATTATAAATGTTTTATTGCTTCTTAATTTAAATGCTGCGTATATGAATCAATTCGTTAATTTTACCAATTTCTATGTCGTTTACTTTCCATTACGCGGGGCTTGCATCTAATGATATGTCTAGTGGAGATAGAAGTACTTTCTGCAATATCGCGAGCTGCAGACCCAAAACCAGGCAGAGATGAAGGAAGAAGAGTTGACCTTTTGCCTTTATTCTTTAGACTTACTTGTTTGCCTATACCAAAACCAAAAGGATTGCTGTAAACATGATAATGAACTTAACAGTCAAAAAACTAGGCCGACGATTAACGAAAATGCCACTACCCCACCCTAAGTAGTCCGCTTTAGGCCGACGGTGACGCGATATCGAAGGGTCAGTTGGGGGACAACTTCACGTTTCGTGGTCGCCATGGCGACCATTTTAGACTTATTTTTAATTACTTTTCCACGGAACACTTCGAACCGCGGAACACAGTTTGGGAAACGCTGCTTAAATGCATAATTGTTTGTATTGGCGTGATAATGTAAGCACTGTGCCTTTTTCTTTGTTCCACGATTATAATAAATGTTACAGGCCGCGTCGCGTTCTGTTGCCCTCCACAAAGAATGAATCAAATTTTCCAGGGTGCAAGTCCAACTGTTGCGAAAAAGAGATACAGAGATCACAACACCAGTGTTTTACAGGTAATCAATAAAACTTGAAGAGTTTTGGTATATTCTAGAATAACTTCTATATTGTTAGGAGCCGTTAAACTTTTTATTCAATTTTAATATAAAGTGATGATATTCGTTGAATCGCGGCATTTTCTTTGTGGCATAAATATGTTGAAGTTTTATTGAAGATAAATTTCTTAAAAATCTGGCAAAGCCACTAACGTATATATATATATATCTGTTTAATTTTTTCTGATAAACTTCCCAATTTTAATACATTTACCAAGTTATCATAAACCAATACGTTTTCAGAGAGCACCGAAGGACCGCCTTTTAAAAATGAAATTGTCGGATGGATGGGAACCTTTGTGCAAATTTCTTGAAAAGCCTATTCCAAGCGAGCAATTTCCACATAAAAATATAAAAGGATCAGTGATGGAGGAATTCGTTAACGAAAGCCCGTTTGCTCGACAAATGAAAAGAGAAGTGTTCATAACGAAAATTGCCATTTCAGTGTTATTAGCTGTGGTTGCTTTCTTTCTCAGCAAGTCATTTTTCTGAACGATGATTTGAAATCATCCTGGGACATATCTATTTCAGTAGCGGAGTGGCAATGTTCAAAATGCTTTCAGTTAAATACCTAGAGAATAGTCTAGAGAATTTATTTAGAAGGATTTGAGAATAAATGTTGCATAACTACTGGAAAGATATTTGCGAAACTAATGCGGGATATTTTGAAGATGAAATTATGCCTCAAACCAGATGCATTGTTAGATTAAATTTCACCAGGCCACTGGGCGCTTGTTTATAGACAGTGTGAACAGTATAAAACTATGGCCGTTTCCCCGACCCTCGTACTATATCAAAATTTTTGAGATATATTTTAAAAGTGATTTAAAAATCTATATACGCTTACAAAATGGTTTACAAGTTCAAAACCATCATGTATATTAAAATATTTAACCACGTGCTGTTTACCGGTACTGATAGCCTAAATATCCCTGACAGGTCTGATTTTTGAATATTGCAATTATACTAAAGCACCTCGGAGGACATGGGTATACAATCAAATTATTTACAACAACAACACGGCTGAAAACTGACAAATAACATGCAAAACCGAGACAATGTTTACAACTATGATTAAGCATCAAATATCTGTCTGAGTGCAAGAAGTATCTGAGCGACTGCACAAATAGCCATTGTTGCGTCATCGTTGACCATTATTTCTGATTGGTCATAGTACCGAAATAAACCGAAAAGAAATCGATGCTCGGAGAAACATCCATAGATTAATCATTAATGTATTTACACAAAAGTTAAAATTAGATAAAGAGATAGGTAGCAGATGATTATACTAGTTCAATATAATCTCACACGAAAAATGGAGCTCCAGAAGTATGTGCAACAAGATGACGCACAACCTGAACATAGTATGTGTACCAGGTTAAGGCTGTGCGCCATCTTGGTGCACATACTTCGGGAGCGCGCGAAAAACACACAGCTGTATAACAACCCAACCATTGCCATGCATTACAAACCGTAACAACAGTACTCTCAATAAATTTGTGTGGCGTTTGCAGACTTGTGATGGATTGTGTTTCTCCTATAGCAAAAAACTTTTTCTGTACTACATGATCATTGGAAAATTCCTATTGGTTATTCTGACAGATTTCTTGTGATATGACGCTTACAAACTTGTTTACATGTTCATAACCATGATATTGATTAAAAATATTTAACCCATGTAGCACTGTTCTACATGTAGTACTAGTAGCTAATTTAGCTCAGTTGATCACTCTGTGTAGGCTACATAATATTTTTGCAATCTGCTATTTCATTCCCAACATTCATCGACTTACAATTACAATACATGTCAAGTTAATTTTACTCCCACATCTTCGACATTTAAACACGTCCGATATTTGTTAGCACGTTATCACCTTCTTTTATTCGGTAGTTTGGTGAATATTTTTTTATAAATAATAAAGCTAAAATTTCAAAACCACTTGACATGCGGTTTCGCAATGCTATTCTATTTCCAACGTTCGACATGACAAAACATGTCCAGTTGATTCCTTACAAGGCTTTAACATTAAATATTAACTAATATTTCTTTGCACGTCAAACTAACCAACTATAATTTATTTTAAAGAAATGTGGCATGCCCGTGGGAATAGTAGCATTTTCTTGAATGCAACGCGTTTGAATCATGTACAGCATTTGACAGATCATTGTAAAGTGGGGAAAGCGCATAGGCGAGATGAAGGTATTAGTAGTCGCATTTTCAAAATGTGGAACGAAGACCTTTGCTTCAGCACTTCGCACTCTAGGTTATTCTGTTTATGATTTTGAAGAAAATCAAAATTATCTTAAAGAGGATTGGATAAAAATAATGACCGAAGGAGGGACGAAGGAAGACTTTTATCGAATGTATAAAGACATCGATGCTGCTGCAGACATCCCTGCTTGTCTTTTCTGGGAAGAAATATCTGAAGCGTTCCCTGACGTAAAGGTACAAAATTGCTTTTGATGTTTCGAATATAAGTGTCTGAGTTGACCACATCAAAAAATCAAAAATTATATCTTTTTTAATCAAAGAAGTAGTACCCTATTAAGTGCATCGATTTTGTTGCATACAATTACTCAAATGTGTCGATGGTAATTTTAGACATGTTCTGCATGCATGTAAGGTTTGTACAGTAGACAGCATCTCATATTGTCGTTAGACTTGAGCTTGTTGGTATTGATTTTTATCTCTCATTTATTTTGTTTTAATCCTACCTCCCAGAACAAAGTTGAATGATATTGAATCGGAATGTTAATGCCTTTTTGCTTTTTAAGAAAGATGGATATTCGTGTTGAAGGCCAACCCAAAATAACTAAAATGCTAAGTTCTACATTCTGACCGCAAATACGTTGATGCATAAAACTGCAGACACAAAGTCAACAACTCAATTTTCAACGATAATACTATCGCCTACTACATCTTCCTATCCAACTTTAGGATGCTTCACGTTGTGTTCGGTTAGCAGACTAACCTACAATCTGTATGGAAAAGCATTGTCATCATGTTTCTACTGCAAAGCGACTTATTCACTTTGGTTCCTACTAGCCGTGCGGACTCAATACATTGCGACATACCAATTCTCATTGACCAGATGCTTATACACCGCGTGCCCTGTTTTGTAATTCAGGACGAGGATTACAACGGAATTGTGAAGACAGTGAATTTCCAAATTACCTCATAAAAATTGTCAGCTTTTGCCTTTATTACATCATTTTACACGTCACATCTCATTTGCTAAAAGTTATATATCATTTCAGCTTATTTTCACATGCCGGAGCACTGAAGATGAATGGTTGCAAAGTTACCAACTACAGATGAAGGTTATTGCAGATAATTACTTTGTTGCTATATGGCCGTTTCTCTCTTGGACAGCTTACAAAAATTTCCAATTTAGCCACCATGCAGGTACTTGAGATTTTATTAATTCTGAGCACTACTGTTTTGTTCCTACATCGCCACAATTATTTCAGTGTTTAAATGCGTTTCAACACATAACTGTACAACACATATCCTTATTTGGCTGTGTTCGTGATACAGAGTGGAGGTAACTAACTAACGATTCACATTCAGACTTCGAGCTCTAGGCTCATCATGGTAGTCTGATTCCCTGCTACATTGACAAAAATCTTTAAATGTCATAGAAGGCGTTCATATTCGTTGTTTGTACGGTGTTCTAATGCTATGAAACGCCGAGCATATTTTCTTTGTTTCGCAATTATATTCCAGGCCGCGTAGCGTTCTGTTGCCCTCCACAAAGAATGAATCAAGTTTACCAAGGTGGAAGTCCAACTGTTTTGAAAAAGAGATACAGAGACCACAACACCAGTGTTTTACAGGTAATTATAAAAAATTCAAAAAGAATAAATTTGACATATTCTAGAAGGTATTGCATATCATTAACCGCGACATTGTTTCTTTCTAGTACTTAACATGCTCCAAAACTTGTTTACTATTTAAACTATTTGAGATTCTGGGAGGGGTATATATATATATATACTAGCAAAAGATTCATGTATTTTCACATTTTTTTTATGACAAAACTGCCTCGTTTATCAATTTTTTTGCATATATATAATGAGACAATAACTTTACCAAGTTATCATCACATGTTTTCAGAGGGTACCGAAAGACCGGCTTTTAAAAATGAATTTGTCAGATGGATGGGAACCTCTGTGCAAATTTCTTGGAAAACCTATCCCAAACGTCCCTTTTCCACATAAAAACAAAAAAGGATCGGTTATAGAAAGAAATATTAAAGAAAGCCCGTTTGCTCGTCAAATCAAAAGAGAAATGTTCATAGCGATATTTGTCATTTCAGTGTTATTAGCTGTGGGTGTTTTCTTTTTGAGTAAATCATTTTTCTGAAATATGTCCTGAAATTGGTTTATAAGCATCTCGTGGCACATCTTATAAAATGTTTCAAATGATATAAATAGAATATAAAACTTGCTTTGTGTCTAGAATTTATTTGGCAGGTTTTGAAAATGAATGTCATATATTTGAAAACCGAATGCAGATAATGTAGATAAAATTGTGTCTCGATCCTAATGCATTGTTTGATAAAATTTACCAAGACTGCTGAGAGAAGTCTTGACAGAAAGTGTGTGCAGTATAAATTAGCCGATGCATAAGTTGTACAAGAAAAATATATAGCGCCAATATGAAAGTCGAGCTGATGATCATTGTGACAAAATTAGAGAAAGATAGGTATATATGATAACGCTGGTTCAGTGGGTCCCAACTTTTTTGCCTTATGACCCCCTTTGCGTATTCTCCTATCTATCGCGACCTCTATCATGATATTTGATGAATTTATATTAGTTCCACAAAAGAAGGATATGACGCCTAAATGTGTAGAATCGTTATCTTCAACCAATAAAATACTATCAATCATTTTATCATTCCGTTATCTTAAAATTTAATTTGTGACAACTGCCTTTAGATTTACCTGAGTGCCATATTTTACGGCTGATAAGACGATTTTCACGACGTCATGTTTCGACTTTCTGGGCAAATTAATTTTGAACCAGGTAAACAACATAGGTCAAACTCGGTCTCAGTATTATACCTTTGATCTCACAATTGAGGCAAGTGTAAAAAAAATTTTGCGACATAATAATGATGAAAATTATTTGGAGGTACCATCACTGGTAGTAACTGAAAATATGGCGCTTTGATGCACTACCGGGGAAAACGAGTGTTTTCTCGCACAAACGATTGCTCACTTATTTTAGTCAGCGAACATGCATTCGCATCACGAGAGCCTTTGAGCAAAATGCTTTCTATTAATCAGTAAGATCTTGTATATACAGTTGCGGAATTTACACGCACCAACCAAATCATATTTATCTGGGTCGTTATGGCAAAATGCAGAGTTACATGGAGGGCCGAGCATAAATCAGGCTAGTGTTAAAAAGGTGCACAAAATAAGCACCCGCTCACCCTAACTAGTGAAACACACACAGTAATATAAACAAACACGATATAAAATCAATTTAAGATGTGAATACACCGAACAAATCGGAAAATGACAACACTTCAAAAGGTCGGTAACCTTTTGTCGCTCGCGGGCCAAAATGAAGGGTTGCAAGTCATTGGTGGGCCGTTCATATTTTTAGAAAGTTAAAAACCGAACTGATGATATCTTTTATAATTAAAATCAAGCAGTGATACATCTCTTGAATAGAATATAGCTTTATTTCCTCATTGCATTGCATCTCAAAAAATTCCATTTGGATATTTTCGGCGCCATTAAACCATTTGCACTTAGCAGCAACCTTTCTGTGTTTTGTTGCCTTTGTCTATAATTCAATATTAGGCATTGAACCCGTCTGATATTTGTTCACGCTATCGCCTTCTCTTGTTCGGCAGTTCAATGAATACGTAATATAATATAATATAACTTCACAACCACTTAAACATGCAGTTATGCAATCAGCTATTCTATTTCCGACATCCATTGACCTAGCAAGCCATGTCAAGTTAGTATTACTAACACAGCTTTAACATTAAACACCACTGATAGTTGTTTGCTCGTCAAATAAACTGACTACAAATTCGTTTACATGAATGTGGGCTATCAGAGTGTAAATTAGCATTTTCTTGAACGCAGCGCGGTTGGGTTATGCATAACGTTTGACAGATCATTGTAAAGTAGGGAAGTAGTACGCGCATAGGCGAGATGAAGGTATTAGTAGTCTCATTTTCAAAATGTGGAACAAAGACCTTAGCTTCAGCACTTCGCACTCTAGGTTATTCAGTCTATGATTTCGAAGAAAATCAAAATTATCTTAGAGAGGAATGGATAAAAATAATGACCGAAGGAGGGACGAAAGAAGATTTTTATCGAATGTATAAAGACGTTGATGCTGCTACAGACATCCCTGCATGTCTTTTCTGGGAAGAAATCTCTGAAGCGTTCCCCGACGTTAAGGTACTAAAATGTGTTTGGTGCTTTGATTATAAATGTAGGAATTGCCCACATCAGAAAATCAAAAGTTATTCTGTATTCACAAAGAAATTGCTTATTTTACACCATATTGGAAAAAATCTTGTTCAGTCAGGAATAAAATGTTGTATATTTCATTGGTTTCATTTGATTTAATATCTCAAATGTGTATATATTAATTTCAGACAACTTCTGCGTGTAAGGTTTCCCATATCAATTAACGCCACGCTCGTCATGCTCGACACCAAAAGGTCACGGTTTCTTCACTGTTATTTTGGGTTTATGTTAGTTAGCGGTTTTGCTACCAAAGATCAATCATTTCTACGATATTTCCAAGTTCTGATCCTATGTAGGTAATTACCTTGGGCTACAAAACTTGGCAAATTACAACAGGAAAATGTTACGAAATATTCTACATATATCATCGTCAATTTTATTTTGTCCAAGTGTGAAATACAACTTGCGGCTTATATTCGAAACAAACATAACTCCTTTTATCGGCTGACAATGTGTTATATGCGCTTTGCGGCGGTTTATATGATATTCTTGGCGGTATTGCTCATCAGGCTAAACATCAGGAATACGATTGCCAAAGCACCCTGATTACCCTGCATGGGTTCGCAGGTTCAAATTCCGCGGGGGATAATTATGTGAGATAGGATTGCTGGACTCATACCCATCGCAGAGTGGTTCACGTAATTGCTGGTCGGTTACGGCTTCGTCCAATATCAAGTAAACAAATACGAAGCTAACTAAACCCTAACATGGACTGTTATCCGGACGAAAGACTATGGATCGTCATATGATCAAGCCTTCTTATCGGATTTTCTTTCTCCCGGGAGAAATGTGTAAATCCTGTTCTAATAATACCGTTAAACAGTTAGCCCAAGTATCCACGTAAATCGATATATCCCGTTTTACTTTTTTCACGCATGACATGGTATAAAGCAACGGTACGTAAAATAATACGTTATCTAAAACTTTCAATTAATTCGATGATTTAAATGATAGTATATATGTGATAGTACTTGTTTTGACAAAATTAGAAATAAAATCGAGTGGCTCCATGGTTAACTATCAAATGTGATTCACCTAATTCGTAAACAGTGTCAGTGGCTGGATGCTGATGAAACTATTATATATATATACTTGAGCTATACGTAGAGATTACACGATATGGGGATTGTAGAGTTTACCCAATACGAGTATTGTATACTCTCCGCAAATAAGAGAAGATCCGGTATGACAATTATTCAACGTTTGAGATAATTAGGCGCAATTTTAAGGAAAAGCTGTAATCAACAAACAGATGTGTAAATCATCATGTGATTGGCGAATATCCCAAACTCCTATCCTACCTGATCAAACGCTATGCGATTCCAAACGTGTTTTCCCTGAGGAGTGCAATCAGAAAATTGGAATAATCTATAATGCTATATCTTCTGAACAGTCACATTTAATTAATAAAATGACATCCTCCTTCCAATGTTACTTGGAACTGCAGACTTACATATTACATCGTGAATCATGCTATATCTATCTCCAACCCCATTGCATCCATCGAAACAAAATCAAATAGTTACATCATTTGGCACAGCACTTCACATTTATCAAAAGTTTATATATATATATATATATCATTTCAGCTTATTTTCACATGTCGCAACAATGAAGATGAATGGTTGAAAAGTTATCAAATACAGATGAAGGCTATTGCAGATGATCACTATGTTGCCACGTGGCCGTTTCTCTCATGGACAGCTTACAAAAATTTCCGATTCTGCCACCATGCAGGTACTTGAGATTTTAGTAATTTGATGCAGCAAGCAAGGTTTTGTTCTAACATTACATTATTCATATCTATGACAAACTGCGGTTCTGATTTATACGGGTTGTGTGCGTGGCATGAAGTGGAGTTACGAACTAACGATTCCTATACAGACTTAGGGATATAGGTTCTGGTCCGATTCTCAGTTTCATTATGCTACATTGCAAATCTTTGAATTTTTTTAAAGGCGTGTATAGTAGAGATGCACCGATACCGATACCAAAGGAAAACACCAATATTTTAAAAGGCCGATATTCCGATATACTATGTAATTACTCTCATAAGTGTGCAAGGCAGAAGAGTTGAAACAATTGTCCGTAAGCATTATTTGCAGTGCACACTATTTCAGATTGAAGAAGAGATGTCACAAACAATAAAAAATTGATGTTTGAGATCCAGATGCGTTGATTGTGCAGATTCATTGTGCGCCGACGCTAGTTATTCCGGAGTTCGATTAGAAAACTCATGGGATATTGCTACTGTGGGTGGTAAAATTCTACTAATATGGGTGGTTTACTTATCATGTCAAACTGACACATTGAGTTGTGTGCGCAGGATTTTGTGCCAATATAACTAATATTCGATTGATATATTTCTTAATAATTACCATGTAATATTAAAAATGTCAATATAAAATTTGGCAGCAAAAATACCCAAATTAGTTTAACCAGTTTGGCTGATAAATAGATAAAAACAGGTTAGAATCATATTCCACTCGCGGGGGTGGGGATGTGCATGGCTCGTAGTTCACGATCTCTCCAAGCCAAATATATTTTCTAATTAATTTTTTTAAACAGTATGGATTTCATTAAAAAGCTAAATATATCCAAAATATCGTTTTATATTCAGCCGATACCGATACTAAAAATGGGCCGATACATCTCTATAATGCAGCGTTTCCTAAACTTTTTCGGCCACGGAACACTTACACTTTTATCTCGCCTCGCGGAACACCAAAAAATGAAAGGGTAAATTTGATAAAGAAAAAAGATGTAATGTAGCGGTTCCCAATGGGTCCTCGTGGCGAGTTGCCAAATGCGCCGCTAAAACTAACAGAATTGTGTTAAACATACCTAAAAATGATCGAATATTTTACATATTGCATTTATTATAAATGTTTTATTGCTTCTTAATTTAAATGCTGCGTATATGAATCAATTCGTTAATTTTACC